GCTGGCTCTCACAACCGTCGAGTACATACCAGTTGGCCTTTCTGCTAATAGGAAATTCAAATGGGAAATCTCCACAGACTTCACCGTTTCTCCCTTTCTCCCAGTCCGCCCGATCCTTTGAGATACCCCAAGAGAAGCAGACGTTCACAACTCTATTTCGGCCGTGTTCGTTCCCATTCAAAGGCACTCACCCCTCCAGCCTTGTTGCTAAAACTAACACAGCCCCAGAAACAGACTTGTCAAAACGCAGTGAGATTTTTAAATAGCAGGACCAAAGCTCAAATTGCTAAAAGGAGAAATTTCACATATTGCTATCCTTAAAAAATAAAAAGGCTCTCTCTGTGTGCCCCTTGCCCCCCAACATCCCCTCCCCACCCCTGCCACTTCCTTCTAGATGCCCAACGGCGCTGCAGCTTGCAGTACAGACACTGCTCTCCTTCCGGGGCGCTGCACTCTCAGCGGAAGCGTGTAGGAGGCAGCATGGATGTACGCCGACGACGGCAGGACTTGACCTCAAGGTCTTGTTTGTTGTTCTTTTATTTTTTTAAGATTGTATTTATTTATTCACGAGAGACAGAGAGAGAGAGAGGCAGAGACACAGGCAGAGGGAGAAGCAGGCTCCATGCAGGGAGCCCGATCCGGGACTTGATTCCAGGACCCCGGGGTCACACCCCAGGCCAAAGGCAGATGCCCAACCACTGAGCCACCCGGGCACCCCCAGGTCTTGTTTATTCCTCAGGGTTGATGAAACTGGGGTCTCGTGAGTCGACACTGACAAACTAGCCCAGGTATAGCCCCAGGGTGGGGGATCCAGCGGATCCCAGACCATGCTGCTTTCAGTGGTCAGAGCAAAGCTGAGCTTCAGCAGAACCCACAGATCCACACTGCCCTAGCCCTGGGCACCTGCGCTTAAACACAGGTCATCAACAGGTGAGGTGTAGCAGTCAGGGCCCTCCCCCTATAGGGCACCAATCTCTCTGGAGGAGATAACGGGGCACTGGACGGGATGAGCACTGGGTGTTACACTATATGTTGGCAAACTGAACTCCAATTAAAAATATATATATACAAAAAAAAAGAAAAAAAACATCAGAGGGAGGGCTTAAGAACGTCTTAGACTAGAAAGTAGAGGCCAAGAAAGGAAGAGAGAAACCACGCAGTGCCCTCTGTGCCTGAAGCACCAAGCCCAGGCTCCCCTGTTACAGGGTCAGGACACTCAGGTTATAAAGGCGTTCACGTCCAACCTATACACATGCACCATGTATTTTTTCAAGTGACTTGGAGTTTTAGCATGTTGTCCAAGCCCTACCACATTAAGCGGCAAAAGTACCAGCATCTGAACCCAGCTTGTCCACCTGCCAGGCCGAACCCGTCTGCGCTCCACAGTGGCCTCCAAGGGGCCACATACCGCTGGGAGCCCACCAACTAGCGCACAATAGCCTAGAAGACGAGGTAAAGTATGTGCCCCAGGCCAGTGGTTCCCAGATGTGACTGATGGATGGGCATCACCTGAGATGCTTCAGAAACAGCCAGATCACCCTGTTTCAGGCTACTGACTATGCAGGTCTGAGAGGAGGCCCCGAAATCTGGATTTCCACACTGCCAATGATTCGCGTCATTCCTCTGCTGTATCATTTACAGAAAGAGAAAAACAAGGGCTCAAACATGAAAGGCCATCTGGAGCCTGGGTCTGAATCCACAGAATGTTAAAAGAGAAACACTAAAGAGGCGGCTATGTCCCAGGAGTGATCATGACAGTGAGACCAGCGGGCCGTGGCCAGGTGACAGGATGGAGCGTGATCAAGGGGGAGATAATAGGAAGGGGCGATATTATGAGCATCTTATAAATCTGGCAGAGATATTTAGACTCCACGCCGTGATAACAAGGAAACGCGGAGGTCTGTGGACCACGGGAACACCACCAGCACGGTGCATCAAACAGCAGATGAGCATCTGGACCGGGAGGCGCAACTACAAAGCTGCTGCCGACACGAAGGCACGGGTCCCAAGAGAGACAGAACCGAAGGGGAAAGCTACCTGGATCACCAGAATGTGGGCTGCGGGAGCATAGGGGGGCGTCCAAGCCGGGCACTGAGCAGGTGCTGCACGGTATTTGCAGACCGAGCAACACGGAGGTGGACTGAGCAGTCAACAGGACATGGAAGTCAACAGAGTGGCATGAGTCAAGGATGTCTGCAAGAGTCAAATCCAAAAGCCTAGAATTAAGATGGTGGCGCTGGTGCAACCGATTGAAGAGGTAAACAGCAAGGGCTCTCCTTCGTGACCTCTTGCTGTTTTCTTTCCTAAAACCTGATTTGGGCTTCCGGTCCCTGAAAGAGTCGGGTGGATTCTGAGATACTGGAATGTGCCACCAACGGTGGCACAAATGGCAGGGCTCCTTCCGTGGTAAGAAGGAAACGACCGGCGAGATCATTTTAGTCTGATTTTTGGCAATGTTGTATTCGAGAACCTCAACTCAGATGACATTCCTCACGCCATCAACTGGATCGCTGCCGGCTGACACGCCAATAACATAGTGGCTTGACCAGACTCCCCATAAACCTTAATGACAGACTGTCTGGTTGTGTGTGGCTGGGTCAGCCTCCGGGCCCTGCCAACCTGAGCAGACTCGGGGCCACCTGCGGCTGGCTGCTCAGGCCTCTGGGGGGGCTTCCAGAGAGCTGAGAATCAGTCCTGCCCAGGAAAAAAAACTAGATGTAAATAAATAAATAAATAAATAAACAAACAAATAAAAATAAAAATAAAAATAAAAAAAGAAAAAGCTAGACGATCTTTTGAAATCCTTTCCAAACTAATGATCATTCAAGGTGCCCTGTGAGTAATCGTGTTACGCAGGTGCGCCAGGCCCCAGAAGCAGTAATTGGAGGGCATACCCTAACTCCCTTTAGGACATCCATCTTTTGCAAGCCTGAGCTCACAAGATCTTTCTTTCTAAAATGATGCCTACCTACTGCCAAGAGCCAACGAAAAGACAAACAGCCCTTGTTTTTCTAAAATTCCCTAGGAAAACCAATTTGTTTCATTTACCAGCACAGCCAAAACATATTTTTTTGAAGGACTGAAAAAGGTTACACGGCTCCAGTTTTATTTTTCTTTCTAATGCAACTGCCCAAAGCCTGACTTTCCCAGTGTGCTGAGAGGTAAGGTCCGAGTCCAAATGACTTGACAGTTTCTCTTAATTCACACACGGGGAGACGTGTGTACAAAATTCCATTAGTTTCAGAACACTTCCTTTTCTTAAACATATTTCCGGTTCAAATCATGTGTTTATAGCAGCCTGCAATAGATTACTTCTAAAGGTAAACAGTCTCGGTAAAAAAAAAAAAAAAGAAGAAGAAGACAGAAACAGCAGCGTAGCACTCGGGCCACACTGGTCAGTCCTTTTCCTCGCTCGGTGTCCCCGCAGCGACAGCCCTAACTGACGACGCTGGAAAGTACGAACGTGTGCCCAGGAGCAGTCCCTGCTGCCTCCAGCACCCAGAAAGGAAGCCTCCGGAAAGACAGCTTTGAGCCTTCATTCCCAAGAATCTCTGTGCGCCCCCCTCCTTCCCTTGTGCTTAGTATAAAACTCAAAAATCCACTAAGTGCAGACATTTTTTTTCCCCTCTCCTCCTCTGAAGCACAGACTTTTCGGCTCGGAGGGACAACCGCTTCTTGTCACTGCCAGAAAGTGGTGTCTTTTTCAACCTTAGAATAAGAGGTTTTGGAGACAACGTGCTGTAGTACTGGCTGCAGAAAAGCCGGGTCTTGCAACTTCACACAGGCTGAGGCTGCTCCGCATGGGATGGGGACTAGGAGTGATTGAAAAGGGGGGCTCGGGGCCACCCCAGGTTTGCAGCAGCCTCACAAAGCCTCCAAAGTGACATCTTAAAAATACCTCATCAGCCTTCTGAATGATCCTCCAGTTGCCTGGGAGAGCATCTCCCGCAGGGAGCGGGGAGCTCGCTGGGAAGGCATCTGCTCCCCGTCAGAAGGGAGGAATCTCGGAACCCCAAGGTGGAGAGTCGGGGAGCCCAGGGGACCCCAGGGCAGCCTAGGGGAGCCCAGGAGCCTCCTCCAGGAGCAGCGACAGGTTTCTGCCAAAATGCAGAGAAACCGAGACTTTCTTTCTGCAGCAGCCCCGAACCCTGGCACTTGCCAGCCGACGCGGTGCAGGATTCAGGACCAGAAAGGGGCCTCCCTGGCCCCGGCGCCCCAGGCGCTTCCCCTCGAGTCCCGGGGCCGGGCCGCCCTGCTCCCCTTTGCCCTGTTTTGCAACAAGATGAGCAGATCATGTTTGTCTGAAAAGCGCGGAGAGTGAGACTCTCCCCTTTCGTGCCGGAGGAGCCGGAGTTGCTAAGGGGATGGGTGGGCGCCGGCGGTTTAACCCTCCGACCGCCGCGGGGACCCGCAGCCGAGGTGCACCCTGCGCGCCGCTCCGGCCCACCTGTGGGCGCACCTGGCGCACGCGGGAGCCCCCCCCCCCCCCGCGCTCTGCACCCGCGGCCCCCTCCCTTCCCCTCCCCTCCCCTCCCCTCCCCGGCTCCGGGCAGGAGGCAGGGCCGCCCAGGTGGGCGGCCCGGGGCGCGCACCGGCGGGGTCGGAACAGCCGCTCCCCTGCACCCCCGGGTTAGCCCCCTGCACCCCGAGGGCGCCCTCCCGGCCCCGCAGCCCCAGACGCGCACCCGCCGCCGCGCCCGGGAGGCAGGCTGGGGGCTGGGTGCTGGGTGCCGGGTGCCGGGTGCCGGGTGCCGCGGGCCGGGGCGGGCGTGGCAGCTGGAGGCCCGCCGTGCGCTCGCGCCCCCCGCCCCGCCGCGCGCGGCCTCAGACAATAGAAGTTTTGCAAACTTCGGCCTCCGGGCGCCGAGTGCGGGTGCGGGAGGTCGGGCCCCGGCCCCGGGACAGCGCGCCCGAGGGGCAGGGCCGGGCCGCCGCCGCCCGGTCCCCGTCCCCGTCCCCGTCCCCGTCCCGGTCCCCGCGCCCCGCCCGCCCGCACTCACCGCCGCCGCCGCCGCGCAGGCCGCCAGGCCCAGGGCGAGCAGGACCCAGGCGCGCCGCATGTTCCCGGGACCGGCCGCTCCGGACGCGCCTGCAGCGAGCGCCACGCGGGCCGCCGCCAACCAGCGCACAGTCCTGGTGGAGGTCGAGGTCGAGGTCGGGCCGGGCCGGGCCGGGTCCTAGTGGAGGTCGGGGTCGGGTCGGGTCGGGTCGGGCCGGGTCCTGGTGGAGGTCGAGGTCGGGCCGGGTCGGGGCTCGCCGGCCTCTCCCGCGCCCGCTGCGCCGCCCGCTGCGCCCGGAACGCGGCGCCTCCTCACTTGTGGCTCCCGCGGGCCGCGGCCGCCGCTCCTCGCCTGCTCCTCCGCGGCTCCCGGCGCGGCTCCCGCTGCGGGCGGACCCGGGCGGGCGGACCCGGGCGGGCGGGAGGGACGGACGGAGGGACGGAGGGACGGAGGGACGGAGGGACGGAGGGACGGAGGGACCGAGGGCCGGGCGGGCGGGCAGGGCGCAGCGGCGGCTCCGCGGCTCCGGGGCGACGCGCGGACCAGCGCGGACTGGGGCTCCCGGCGCCGCCTCCCCGCCTCCCCGCCTCCCCGCCCGCTCGCTCCGCCCGCGCCGCCCCCGCGCCGCCCCGCCCGCTCCTCCCCCTCCTCCCCCCGCCCCCCGCTCCCGCTCCTCCCTCCCTCCCTCTCTCCCTCCCTCGCCCTACCCCCTCCTCCCCCCTCCTCCGCTCCTCCCGCCCTCCCGCCCTCTCTCCCTCCCGCCTCCCCCCTCCCCGCTCCCCGGCGCCCGGGGAGGGAGGCGCCGTGTGACTCCAGCCGGGCCCGGAGACGTTCCTGCAGGATGACCCCAGTGGCGCTCGGCTCCGCGGCGCGGCTCCAGCGGTGCGCCGTGCGCTGTGCGCGGCCTCGGCTTCCCCTCCCCTCCCTCCCCTCCCTCCCTCCCCTGCCCTCCCCTCCTCTCCCCTCCCCTTCTCTCCCCTCTCCTCCCCTCCCTTCCCCTGCCCTCCCCTCCCAGTCTTCACCGCCCTCCCCTCCCCTGCCCTCCCCCTTCCTCCCCTCCCTTCCCCCGCCCTCCCCTCCCAGTCTTCACCGCCCTCCCCTCCCAGTCTTCACCGCCCTCCCCTCCCCTGCCCTCCCCTTCCTCCCCTCCCCTTCTCTCCCCTCTCCTCCCCTCCCCTCCCCTGCCCTCCCCTTCCTCCCCTCCCCTCCTCTCTCCTCCCCTTCTCTCCCCTCTCCTCCCCTCCCTTCCCCTGCCCTCCCCTCCCAGTCTTCACCGCCCTCCCCTCCCCTGCCCTCCCCTTCCTCCCCTCCCCTCCTCTCTCCTCCCCTTCTCTCCCCTCTCCTCCCCTCCCTTCCCCTGCCCTCCCCTCCCAGTCTTCACCGCCCTCCCCCTCCCCTGCCCTCCCCTTCCTCCCCTCCCCTCCTCTCTCCTCCCCTTCTCTCCCCCTCTCCTCCCCTCCCTTCCCCTGCCCTCCCCTCCCAGTCTTCACCGCCCTCCCCTCCCCTGCCCTCCCCTTCCTCCCCTCCCCTTCTCTCCCCTCTCCTCCCCTCCCTTCCCCTGCCCTCCCCTCCCAGTCTTCACCGCCCTTCTCTCCCCTCTCCTCCCCTCCCTTCCCCTGCCCTCCCTTCCCCTGTACTCCCCTGCCCTCCCCTCCCAGTCTTCACCGCCCTCCCCTCCCCTGCCCTCCCCACCCTCCCCACCGCGCTCCCCCGCCTGCCTCCTGCTCCTCCGAGGGGTCTCTCCACGCTCACTTCCCTGGGGAGAGGTCGCTGTCACCGCGGGAGACCCTGAGCCGGCCTGAGCTGGGCCTGCGGGCATCACTGGAGCAGGAGGACACTGCTTGGAGAGTCAGGGAAATACACAAACTTCGCAGCCTTCAGGCCTTGGTGAAGACCGTGTCTTAAGAGGATGAATGTAATGAACGCCTGGTGCGAGGGCTTCTCACCCCTCCTACACCCTCCTTCAAAAAAAAAAAAAAAAAGAAGAAAAAAAATAAAGAGTGACCAAAGACCCCCTATCGACCCAAAATGCAGCACTTGGAAAGCTCATGATTTCATGAAGGACTTAAATACCGTTTCTGCCTCACACACAGTCTCAGCCCCTAAATCATCTTAGAGGCTCCATCTCAGCCTACGGGTGTTAAAGTTTGGAAACTACAAATAGGGCAATTTGATGAGAAATTGGATAGAGACACTGAATAATAACAGATTTAGGAGAACTTCAAAGAAAAGACAGAGAAAGTAATTTCTAGTTTGGAGAAAATAAGAAGCATGTATTTCCTGAATGGAAGTAATTAGTCGGAAATATTTTGTGATGGAAACTGTTTTTCAATTCAGTGTCTATGGCATGCATCCTACAGAACACCGCAAATACGTTCTTCCTTCTGTTAGAATCTTTTCCTCTCTGGCTTCCAGAATAAGTCAAATGTGCAACTATTCTGCTCCTAAAATGCCCATTCCAGGAGACCAGGGACCTTTCTGTCTTTTCCACCACTGTATTCTCATTCCTGGTACATAAAGACACACAATAAATATTTTTTAGATAAATCTTGGTCTAAAACTCAGTCTATAGTGCATGAGACTTGTGAAACTGTGAGAAACATAGATATAGATAGATAGATAGATAGATACTAGGCCATGGTAATTTTTAAACTTAGAATAAAATAGAGCCTACTCTGAGGATCACAGTGTCTCGGTGACTGTTCACTGCAATAAATCTCAAAGAAAGAAATTTAGAGAACTGGGAAGCTACAGCTCAAAGTCAGAGGCATCAGCTCTTCCATGTTGAGTGCCATCCGCCAAGCTCCCCACGGGCAAGTCGAACGTGCTGATAGTCCAAGAGGAAATGTGGAGAAACAGAAAAGTGGGCAAAGGAGAAAGAGAGAGAGAAGGTCAGGAGAACTGGAAGTTGTATCATCGGACGCTTCTAATTCCACAGAAACTGGGCTGGCAGCTGTGGGTCAGCATGGGTCTACCTTGGTTTTTGGAAGGATGAACTACAGCCCTATTTTTAAGATGGATTCTTTGTGGCTTAAAGAATTGCATGAGATGGAGGAGAGAGGGGCTTCGAAAAGGAGTTTCCAAAGGAAAATGAACAGTGTGAGAGAAATGCAAAGAGCCTCAACTGTTGCTTCTACCTCCAAGAGATCTAGTCAGCTTTTCAGGCCTGGAGCAAGGCTGCACCTCCTTTCTCCCCAACGGTTACAAGCATCAAATAGATCAGAACCCCAGTGAAAGGGGGAAACGCACTCACCTGCTGGCTCTCCAGGTTACTGCTGTCTGTTGGGGCATCTCCCTAAGGAGGACCATGGTGGCCGCTCCCTGCCTCAGCGTGGGCAGACAGCGATCAGAGGAAATAAGCCCGTGCATCTGTTCAAGGAACATACACACCCTTGCACCTGAACATGCACCCCCAAAGCTCTTGGTGCATATGAGCCTCTTGGGGTTTATGCAACATTGAGAGTACGGATAATAAGGGGATGGTGCCATTTTGAGAGTCACATAATATCAGGTATTTGATAACAAAGAAATATTCAAATCTTGCGTCCAAATGCATTTGAGAGTCGGAAGGTGTGACCAGAAGGATAATCTGGATGTATAAAAGGAGCAGATGGTAAAAGCACGTACTCAAGACGGGGTTACTAAAAACCTGCCTATGCTTGGCGGGGGGGGGGGGGGTAGCGGAGGGTGGTAAGGGACAGGGATGTCTGCTGCTCTTAGGGACGTATCTAAACTTGGAAATGAGGAAGGTCTGTGTCTTCGTTTGGGTTGCTCTAAGGAAAATATCATAGACTGGCTTCTGAACAAGAAAAATTCATTTCTCACAGTTCCGGAAGCTGAGAAGTCCAAGATCAAGGCGCTGGCATATTTGGTGAGAGCGGGCTTCTTGGTTCCTGGAGGGCTCTCTCTTTGCTGTGTCCTCATAGGGTGAGGGAGGGGGTGACTGCGTCCTCTGGAGCCCCTTTGATAAGAACCCCAGTGCCATCCATGAGGCCTCTACTCTACTGGCCTAACCACCTTCCAAAGGCCCCACACTACCCAACACCATCACTTGGAGATTAGGATTTCAACCTATGTATGGGAGGGAGTCTGGGGAGGGGGATCCAGAGGCACAAACCTTCTGTCTACAGCAGCCTGTTGGTGTGTTTTGCTAACTGCAACTTTTTTTGACTGAATAAAACTCCATGGAGTTGTGTGGCGTATGTATATCTCACACACGGAAAGTAGGAAGCGATTAAAGGCAAGGGTTCCCCCCAGTGTGCTTTCAGGTCCTCCGTTCGAGGGCTGTGCTTTAGGGGGCACAACAGGTAAAATGGCAAAATCAATCACTGCCCAACCTCTCACTGATTGCTGAAAGAATAAACAACCTACCTCAGGAATCTCAGAAGAAGATATAGAAGATGAACAGGATATAGAGACAGAGATGCAGGCGTGTAAGAAGGGGGGGCGGTGAATTAAAAGGCACAGAACACCCGAGAAAAACAGAGACGACAGGTACTAGAGACATATTTTTAACCTAAGCCGACACCCTGGACCTTGTCACCAGGGTCCTTCGTGACGTCACATGATCGCCCGGACGAGCAGGTGCTGTGGCCCGAGGTGAGCTGTCGGAGAGGGAACCGCAGAGGGACAAAGATGCCGCCTTGGTGTTTCCGACTGGCCTTCACTTGGCATTCCCTGGAATGGTACCAGCGGTTCAGGCTAGAAATCTATTTAGTAGGATCAGCCCTGACTAAATTCACTTGAAAGATAATAGAACCTGGGAATATGAGGAAATCCAGCCAGCCAACTCCTAATTACCCACGCTCATCAGGGCCAGTGCGCGGAGCCGTGACCAAAATCTACAGGCAAGCCCAGCCCAACAACAGCGAACACCTAGTTTTAGCCTCCGTCTTTTCACCGTTCTCTCCATTCACCTCCATCGCTCCTTTGTCGAGGAAGTTGGCTAATTGTTAGATGAAGAGTCCCTCGTCCTCAAGTCGCACGTCTGTGATTAACGTTCCGTGTCAAATGTCATCCTAAAGTCAGAAATGGAGATTTTAAGGAAACCATTGTTTACAGGCTACCTCGTTTGGGGGCATCAAACATCGACCTACGAGCCATCCTCGGGTACATGAGCATAGGAAGGGTCCATAAAGGTATCTTCAAGGTGCTGGCACCGCCTTTGTGCAGGTCCCGTGGGACGGGGAGACACAGTCCGGGCCGACGTTAGGGACGATGGTGCTACCGCTGTGACTGCCACCCCGACGCCCTGCCCTTGGCGCCACAGTCCCTCACCTGCTCCGGCAGTTACGTGGACCAGGTCGCGCGGGGGGCGAGGCGATTTATTAGTGCCCACCACTTAGATGCACCCTTCCGATCGTCTCAGCCGAGGAGCTCGGGGTCGAACCCAGCTGCGCATTTGGATGACTCCCAGTCACCCCAGACTGCCGAGGGTCCTCGTGTGTCCTCGACGATGGATGTACAAGGGCAAGGA